GAACCCGCGAACCCGTGAACCCGCGAACCCGCGAACCCGTGAACCCGTGAACCCGCGAACCCGCGAACCCGTGAACCTGCGAACCCGCGGACCAGGCTACATAGCGTCCATAAGTCCGGCGTTTGCAGGGTGGAGGCGGCGGCGGCGCCGGCACTTCGGGCGGCCGAACCAGCCATACGGGAAGGTACGCACGGCCGCAACCGGCACCGCGGCCAGGAGCAGCAAGAGGCGAAGAGCGTGAAGGCGTGCCATCGCGTGGAAGTGGATTCGGGCAGAGAAACTTTAGCTTGAGCAGATGCCCTCGGACCAAGGCTCCAGTCAGGGCTGGGTCCACACGAGAGATGGGCCCACAACCGACCCATGGATCCCTCTTGTTGTGGGGGCCTGGTTCATTGACTCAATTTTGTCGAGTTCGAGATATCAAGAGCATTAGAAGGGAAGCCTTGAAGGAACCCCTACAGAAAGCCCGAAACCCTGCCTGGTCAGCACTGTCCCCCGCGCCATGCGGGTGCCCTCGTCACCCGCCGAGTCCAGTGCCGAGGCCACCACAGTCAGGAGAAGCATCCTTTGGGGATTTAAGGTTTAAGGTCTTAGGCTCTAGACACATTTTGGGTCGAGAAGGGATTCAAGGGCTATTAGGATCTATAGGGGGTCGGGTGAAGGCGATGCTTGTTTAAGGATCCGACGGCATTTATACGATTCTATCAGGCTCCTACGTGTCGTTGAGCGGTGTCTCAGGACTCTTCAGGGGTTTTTTGTTGTGCTCTAGGCTTCTGCATCGATGCTAGGGTTTTTGAGGTGCTTGTTAAATCGACGTGGTGAATCGGTTGTTTACCCCTTCTACCACTATCCTCCTGACTTGATTCACGTGCTTTCACTGGAGTTCCTCTGATCGTCTCCAAGAAGAACCCATACAACCCAATAACCCCTATAATTAAGGAATATATACCTTAACTCATAATATTAAGGCCCCTATGATTTAAGGTATATTTCTTATCTAAGGTATATTCCTTTCTCTGGGAAGTTCTGGAGATAAGGGCTCGGGGGTTCCGCGGTTGGAGTTCAGGAAAGGATAGGGGTTAGGGTTTAGGGTTTAGGGTTTAGGGTTTAGGGAGGGCAGGGGCTTCTGTTCGTTGGGAGCTAAGGATACATGAAAGGAGTACTCACGTGTTACTCAGGCTCCTAATACAGAATATGGTTTGGGGGGTATATTAGACCATAATTATAATAAGAAACCCCCAGAACCCTATTCCAGTTATTAAGGCCCCTACATTATTCTGGTTCCTATGCTGGGGTTGCTCCTCGTTGCCATGCGCGGTGTCGCGTGCACGGCGGGATCGGGCTCCTCCTCTGACGTCTCCTGCTCCTTCCTAGCAGGGGCTTTTTCGAGCTTTAGGGTTTAGGGCTTCGGGTTTAAAGTTTAGGGTTTAGGGTTTAAAGTTAGCATGCCAAAGGGACACAAGCTAAAAAGATGCTCAATCCCAAAAATCCTAAAGCCCAGGACTCGCAAGGAAATTCCTAGAGACCTCCGAATTTCAAGGCCAAGGCCCCGGTCCCCAAACGAAAAAAGACGAGACTTTGCAGGTTCGGTAAGATGGGGGCCTTAAGAATTAGAAATAGGGTTTGGGGGTATTCTTATACTAGAACTATAATAAAGAACCCCCAAAAACCCTATTCTAATAATTAAGACTCCTGCATTAGGTCTTCCGTCATGCTGCGTTTCAACCAGATCAGATCTTCGGGTTCCACCGGCGCCAAAGACCCTGAAAGCCCCTGTGTCTTTCACAGCACTGCAGAGCCCAAATTGTGTTAGGGTTTAGGGTTTAGGGTTTAGGGTTTAGGGCGTTTTAAAACCTGACAACTCCACTAAAGACCGTCCTCCTGTCGTCCGGCGGGACGAGCACCAGGGTCACAGCCAACACGGCGACTCCGGTGATTCCGGCGGCCAACCAGATGGACTCGAAGTAGTTGGCGCCGTTGCTGGGGTTGTTGGAGAAAGGCCTTGGGGGGCTGAGGCTGGGGCTTTGGGTATAAAGTATATATACAGATATACATTTAATATAAGTGTATATATATATATATATAATATGTGTATCTACATATTTCTGAAAGTGGTTATCGAGATATTACATAGTTTATACTTTGTCATACTATTTAAACGTCTCTGGTGCTGGACCTCCTATATCAAATCCTCCAAACCCTCAAGATGACATGAATCGCTCTCCAAGTTAAGCTTCCTTTAGCCCCCGTGTTTAGGAGTTTCGGGCGTAGGGGTTTATGTAGGGGTTAGGGTTTAGGGCTTTAGGGCTTTAGGGGTTTAGGGTGCAGGGCGTAGGGTGTTGTATGAGCGTCCCCCCGTGGCGCCCCGATCCAAAAAGAGTACCCTGAACCATAAATCCCTGTGCAGCCACTCCGGGCCTCTCAGAAAGCTTCGTGGTCCTTCTAGTAAGGAGCTTGCTGTGTGAGGTCTGAAGAGAAACCCTAAACCCTAAACCCTAAAACCCTTAAGCCCTAAACCCTAAACCCTAAACCCTACACCCTAAACCCTAAACCCCAAAGCCCTAAAACCCTTAAAGCCTAAACCTTCAACCCTAAAGAAAGATCCAGGCAAGCCGGCATCACGATGAAGGCGCCAACTGTCCCTCCGATCAGGCCCATTCCCAGTACCATGGAGTTGTAGTTGTCCTGTACCGGGTTTAGGGCTAAGAGTTTAGGGGTTTAGGGTTTAGGGGTTCGGGGTTTAGGAGTTTAGGGCTTTCGGGGTTTATGGGTTTAGGCTTTAAGGGGTTTAGGGGTTTAGGAGTTTAGGGGCTCATGGGTTCAGGGTTTGCGGCTTAGGGTTTAGGGGTTTAGGGCTCAGGGTTCAGGATTCGCGGTTGAGGGTGGAAGGGCCTGAGTGACGAGACGGGTGTTGAGTTCTTTTGGGATATCTTTGCCTTGGAAACCCTACAGAGTACCAACTTTCTTCCGGAGACCCCGAAATCCAAGATCCAGATCGTAGCAGCGCGTCTTTTGGGAGATTCAAGCCTTAAAACCCTAAACCCTAAACCCTAAACCCTAAACCTCTTTTGGGAGATTCAGGTCAAGCATTCTGCTGAGGGCTTCCGGCGCTTCTCCTCTTACTGGGGATGAAGTAAGGCTGCTGGCAGCTCGACGTCTGCAACATCTGGGGGTCGGCTTTTTCAGCCAGCTCCTCCCTCTTTTTGATTGTGTGTAAAACGAGAGGGGGCGCAAGGCCAGGGTTTGGGTTCTAAACCCTAAACCCTAAACCCTAAACTACTTCGTCTTTGCGGTGGCTACGCTTTGTGGTGTACCCGGTTCGCTCTGCTCTGAGCCAAGGGTCCCGCTCTGCTCCATCGAAAAGCTGGCCGAAGTAGGTCGAGGCGATCTGCATGCAGTTCCCGAAGAAGTTGTTCCAGACATTCCCGAGCATGAAGAGGTAGTAGGACTTCACCCAAATGGCCTGCGGGGTCGGGCTTTGCCTAAACCCTAAACCCTAAACCCTAAACCCTAAACCCTAAACCCTAAGCCCTAAGCCCTAAGCCCTAAACCCTAAACCCTAAACCCTAAGACCTAGGCTT